CCTGAACCCAACCAACTTGGTCACCGCTTTCCCCTGGCCCGATGCTTGATGGGGGGTCCCGCAGGTGGTGTTGCTTTTGCATGCGCGCGCGCGCGCGTGTGCATGCGTCTCCCCCGCCGGGCCGTATGATGGCTGCCCGTTGAGGCGTGACATCGGCCCCCGCGTGTGCGGTGCAGCTGTTTGTATTTCCACACTCAGGGAATGTTTTTTTCCCCCCCCAGATCGGAAGAGCGTCGTGCGTTGAGGCGTGACATCGGCCCCCGCGTGTGCGGTGCAGCTGTTTGTATTTCCACACTCAGGGAATGTTTTTTTCCCCCCCCCCCCAAAACAATACATGTTCCATTCCTCAATGGTCCTTCGCCCGTTGTCAGCTGAGTCGCTTTTTTTTCATCCCTCGGCCCGAGGGGCAGTGTCAGATGAGGGGCAGCAGTTCGCGATGATAGGTAAAACACACACATGCGGCGGTCTGGGCGTTCAGGCGAGCGCGCGCGTGCGCGTGCATGTATGTTTATGTTTGTGTGTGTGTGTGTGTGTGTGTGTGTGTGTGTGTGTGTGTGTGTGTATGCGCGTATGCATGTATACCTGTGTGTGTATGCATGTGTGTGTATGCGCGTATGTATGTATACATGTGGGTGTATGTGTGGAAATGGGTGCTCCTGCTTGCCCGCTACCCCCTCCTGTCCAGAGGGGGAGCCGTTACTCCGTCTGCTTGCCCACTACCCCCTCCTTGGCAGTCCGATGTGTGTACGCATGTGTGTGCGGGGCACTGAGGAGGGAGCGATGCGCCGGCCGGGCATTGCTTTGACCCGGCATGCATCGAGAGGGTGGCCCCGTCATACGTGGCTCATTCCCCGGGGGGAGGGAAGATCATGGGGAGAAAGAAAAAACAGGACAGAAGCAAAGCACCCCCTCTCTTCGGCAAGGGACAAAAAGTATATTGACCGCACATGGCGCTTCGATGCCGGAAGGACATGCTGGCAAGGGGCGAAAGGCAGGGAGCCCTGTCGAGAGGGTCCAGCCTCCGCACACCCAAAAGGGGAGAAGGGGGCGCATGAAAAGCCACAGGCCGCCGGTTGCCGGCGCGACGTCACCTTACTCGATGACCTGGAACTCGAAGCCCTCGGTCTGCTTCTTGGCGCACATATTGCCCTTGAATACCACCACCAGGATCACCACCAGGATGATCACCACGATCGGGATGGCCACTGCCAGGGCGATGATGGTGCCGCCTGTGCATGGCGCGCGGGCCGGGGCCGGGGTCGGGACAGGGGGAAGCGTGTGTGCAGGATGGTCTCGAGTCAGCAGGGTGGGAGTGACAGGGAGATGAAACACTGAGAGAGGCGGG